TTTTTTTTTTTTTAATTAAAAAAATTTTTTTTTTAATTTTGGAGAGAGAGCACAAACTGGGGGGATGGGCAGAGGAAGAAAGAGAGAAAATCCTAAGCAGACTCCATGCTCAGCGTGGAGCCTGACATGGGGCTCAAGCCACGACCCTGGGATCATGACCTGAGCCGAAATCGAGAGTTGGATGCTCAACTGACTGAGCCACCCAGGCGCCCCTAGAACCCATGCTTTTTAATCACTGTGCTACACTGTATATGCATAGGGATATGGACTAAGTATTACAGAGCTAATGTTACCTAAGAAACGAGATTATTTAAGTGTGGAGTAACAAATTCAGAGAGGTTCTGACTTTGAGTTTCTGTGAAGAGGTCATTTATCATGAGGAACTTGGTATAGATACAAATTTCCATCTGGAATCTTAGAAATAAGAATACATTATGATGCTTGAATCTCTTGGACTCCTAGCACTGTAGGGCTGGTTCATAATGGGCCTGGGGACTTTTTCCCTCTCCTTCGGAACCTTTAAACAAATTAGTGGAGTTGCCAAAGTTTGTTCCAGTTATTGCTGAATAACAAACTACCCCAAAACTTAGGACATATAAGGGACATGGTGTCTGTCTGATGCTTCAGCTAGGAAGACTCAAAGACTGGTGACAAATCCTATGGAGGCACTGTCACTTATAGATAGTATCTGGTGCTAGCTATCACCTTGGACTTTAACTGTCTTGTCTGCCAGAACACCTACGTGTGACCTCTCCATGTGGCTGTTTGGCTTTCTCACAGTATGTGACTGGGCTCTAAGAGCAAGTGTCTGAGGAGACACAGGAAGTAGAAGCTGCCAGTTTTTTAAGGCCAGAGAGTGGCATAGCATATTCTGTTGACCAAGCGTATTCCACCATATTCTCTTGACCAAGCAGTCAGAGCCCAGCTTCAAGGGGATGGAACATAAATCTTCCACCTCTTAATGTGAGGAGTGTCAAAGATTTGGGGGCCGTATTTTCTAATTGCCACATAATTCTTCAGCCATCGTCAGGTATATAGTGTTCAGTACTTGGCTGTCTGTGGATTAATGGTTGTATCTTTTGTCCAGTAATAGAAACGCATGAACTTACAACTGGTACCCTTAGATCTAGACTTGGTTGGTTATACAGTTCCAATGTCTTGGTCTGTGGGGAAATCTCTTGTACAGTGTTCCTGACCAGTTAAAATAGGGTTAGTGGTTTATAGGAAGTTAAAATAATTTTTTTAAGTAGAAAAATTATCCAATTAAAAGATGATATATCCTGCATATCACTACAAGTTTTTCTCATCTGAACAAATAGTAGTTAACAGCTTAATGCCAAGCCATCAGATCTCTCCTTTTCTATAGACGACATGGAGTACAAATGAATTGGTATTTATATAACATCTTGAGGGTAGATGATCAAACCAGATAGTTCAACTTTTACAGAAAGAGTCAATACTCTTTAACAGATTTTTGGAGAAAGCCATAGAAATTGGGGCATTAGTAGCTTGGAAGGATGACTACTGATAGATTGTCCAGATCAGTGCAATTTTGAAGAGAGAACTGGAGCCTGACACAGTAGAACTTAAGGTGTCATGTAATTATATTGCAGATTGTGAAATTTTACATCTAATCTATTTGTTACTAGGGCATTAGCTACTAGTACATTTTTCTTTCCACTCTTTTCTTAAAAACACCTCTGTATGCACATGTGTAATTTTCTAATAAAACCGTTTTCCTGCAAATTCCTGTTCAGTCCGTCCTCAAGTGCTACAATTTCACCTCCCAAATCAGTGATTTAAAAAAAATTACTATGAATTCAGTAACACTTGCATGTGAATTTGTCTTTTATTAATCATGGCAGCATCTACAGATTTGAAAACAAATAGCTTTTGCAGGTGTGAAATCTAGTGTTGTTAGTCCAGTATATGGATTTGTGCTCCCCTTGGAGTTGGCGAGCATCCTATAAACTAGGAATCATTCTTCCATTGTCTCCGTTTCTCTTCCCACCTAGCCTCCTAACTAGCTCGTGTGCTCACTAGTCCTCATGTTCCTCGGTCTGCCTTCTACACTGCCACCACATACTTTGATTAAGACCCGTAACTGAACCACATTGCTTCTCTTCCATAAAACTTCAGTGGTCATTCCTGTCACCTTAGCACAGCTTGTAAGACTTGCTGCAAATTGGTTCCTGCCTCTTTATCCAGCCTTACCTTTTGCCACTTGCCCTAGGAGTACCAAACTCTTAGTCTGAACCATATGAAATTGCCGTCTTTGCAGGTCAAAACCTGCCGAATGTCAGCAAGTTAGTATGGTTCAGTCATTGTAGTTTTGTGCCTCAGTGTTTTTGTTTATGTTCTTCCCCCTGCCTGGCAAATGTCACGGTTGATGCAGTATCTACTATAGTTAGAAGTCACTTTTGGGTAGTTGGCTCTGATCCTTTTCATCGCTCCCATTCCACCTGTGCTCCCCTCTCTTGTAGCACTTACACCGTGTTGTCATTGTGTGTGTTTTCTTTGTCTCCAAGGACAGGGACTGCACTTTACATACCTTGGTGTATCCCCCTGTTTCAAGCACTAGCATGGGAAAAACAGCCAGTTATTTGTTGAACTGAACAGGTTATGTGAGACATTTCGTTCGTCAAAATTAGTTACTGAACTTTATTGCCATCAATTTTCTCATTTAGCTGAAGAAAGCAGTAGTAGTGACAGTATGTGGTTAAGCAGAGAACAAACACTGCACACCCCAGTTATGATGCAGACACCACAACTCACCTCGACGATTATGAGAGAGCCCAAAAGATTACGACCTGAGGATAGCTTCATGAGCGTCTATCCAATGCAGACTGAACATCATCAAACTCCTCTTGATTATAAGTAAGTACATTTGATTATTTTCTGTACTATAACTTTATTAATTATATAGAAAAAAGTTAAGTTAAAAGAAGAATAAAATTCTCCTTGAAGCACGCAGGTAACATGGATGTTAGCTCAAAGACAACACGAGGAAGCAAGGCAACAGCAGGAGAGAGCAGCAATGAGCTATGTTAAACTGCGAACTAATCTCCAGCATGCCATGTAAGTGAGAGTGCCTTATTGTCTGAGTCTAGGAAGTTCACTAATTCATTTTCACATATTTTAATGTGTGCCTTACCTAAAAATTTCAGCAAACTCTAGAGTAAGCTGAAATAATCAAGGAACTAAAAATTGGTCTTTCCAACAGAAGAAAAGTTCCAAAGTTAAATATTCACTAGTTAGCTAAAGGACCAATCTTATTAGGTTGATCTGTTGGAAAAGGTTAAATTTGAATCCTTGTTTATTTTGGTACACAGAATTATAGCTTAAAAATTCAGTTTTGTTACATCTTAATTGATTCCCCAGCTTAGTTCAGGCCCTCATCCCTCATCTGAACCATTGTATTAGCTTTCTAACTTGTTTCTTTCCCTCAAATCTCCCATTTATCCTCTCACCAGACTCCTCCCCTCACTCCCCCCCACCACTCCATCATTCAACTACCATCAAAAATGACTATTGTAGAATAAGAATCTGGTCATGTAACTCTGACTTAAAACCTTTCCATGGCTCCCCATTGCCTACAGGATAAAGTCCAAACTCCTTAGCTCATGGCATGCAAGATCTTTCAAAACATATGCCCCCTGCCTACATACTAGTATGATACCCCCCATTCCTTGGCAGGTGGTAAAAGCATTGTGAAAGAATAAGCTCGGGTGTCACCTTAAGTGAAGCTGTGGTCATCTGTGCTCCCATAGCACTCTGTGTATTCATATTTCTTACAGCACTTACCACATTGTACTGTAATTGTTTACGAATTTGTCCCTTTCTCTAGACTGTGAGCTCCTTAAGGGCAGGGACCACTTTCATTGCCTGTTGGTGCTTGGCACATAAAACGTGCTAAGCAAATGTTCGTTGAATGAATAAATGTCCAATGCAAAAAAAAAATTGTAGTATAACTTTTAAATACTTTGTTTTTACTGGAATCTGTATGAGGGTTTTATGAATCTTTATTAGCTTTGGCTCCAGAAGAAATGACAGAAAATCAGTCTTTAGATGATTGGTACAAAGGGAAGATCTGATGATTCTGATTATTTAAGTTTTGAGTTTGAAAGTTTTGTATTTGTAACATAATGTGGTATATGTTTTAATACTGGGAGACAGTAATTGTTACCTTCTTTTTAAAATTCATGTTTCGTTTCATTTTGTTTTTAAATGATGAGAACTTCACCTGTTTTTCTTGAGAAGTGATCACTTATCACATGCTTGGTAACCTATTAGAATTCACCTTAGTTATGGCCTTAGGAACCTTTACAGTTACGTACACTCTATCACATGTATAGATTCTGATCCTGACTTGGCTGATAGGGTCATCATCTATACTATGACTTGGTTCTGCCCTCTGTTCTCTTTTCCCGTGGCCACATTCCCCTTAATATGTTCTTGTTTCATGCTGGATTCAACAGCTAATTTCCTAGCTTCCAACCAGTCACCAGTTCAGACATTCTGGAATTCTACCGTACAGTCATTTGGTCCTTATCTCTCCCCCTGAAAGTTTTCTGCCAGTCTCTAAGATCTTCCGTAGCAGCTCATTACTCAGTGCCATTTATCATTATTCTTTTATTTGAAGTTTGTTTTAATTCCTGTTGAACTTCCCCAGCTGACTGTAAGAGATTATCTCATTTAAATACTTATTACCATAGGAGTCTTTTGGTTGTGGTGCCATAAGTAGTCTGTTGCCTGAAACTTTAAAATATTTTTGTTTTACAATGATTTCTCTGTAACGGCATCTGCTCTACAACTGGAAATACTTCCAAATTATCTCTTTGTTTTTTTTTTATAGTTTATATCACATGTATCTTCCTTATACTCCAAATGAGATGCACAATAGATTTCTGGTTTTCTATAATATGATTCACATATTTCCTTCACAGTTGCCTTTACCAGATACAATAAAATTGTCATTTAACTGTCCAGAACTCTTAGAAAATAGGAACCATTGTCAACATATTTCTCCAGGTAGCCTGGATGAGACATCATGCCTTGCTATCTTTATATTATTTTTAAAGACTCAACATAAGTTGTGTAAATTGTAAGTGAATAATTGATTTTGGTGATGGTGGGAATTTTTAAATGAGTGAGAAAAGAAGGAAATATTGGCCAAACTGGGGAACTACTTGCCTTCAGTTTTGCTATTATGTTGACTCCTCTATGCTGGTCTGGGCTAATTTGTGAACTTGACATTTGAGTTTATTCCTTGTGATTATGTGATAACATACAGAATTTTTGGTCTTAAGTTTTTATTTTACTTTTCTATATATGTCTTAGTTTTGATTTTTGTAGGACAGAGAATCCAAGTTTCAGCATAAATGTTACTTATTTCTTCCTGAAGCAGAATTAATCTCTTCTTTCAGTAATCTTTTATAGCCCTTGGTACATGATTCTCTTGCAATATTTGCCACATTTTGTTACAGTTAATTATTTCTGTTTTCCTGTAGTAGACTGTGAGCTCCTTGAGGGCAGGAACTATGTCTTATTTCTCCTTTTTTGTTTTGCTTGCATCCATAGGCTATAAAAGAAGCCTGACATGTAGTAGGCACTATGTGAATGAATGAGTGAGTGCCTGGTACACATTAAGTACTGAGTGAATTCGAGTGAGTGATGGGTAAAGTTACTGTATATTAGTGAAAATATCTGTGTTCTGAAAATGTCATTTCTATGGTCTCTGTTTTATATTTGTTTATTAATTTGTACCCTGCCTACTTTCACAAAGGATTTGAGGTATCTTGTCTGTTCCCATGTGGGAAATTCTCATTGAACTTTTATATGGGATATCAGAACTATCAAGCTAAACGTATTGAAGTAATGTAGAATAAACAACTCCTTAGCATTTTTAGACCAGTGAACATTGGGGTTTTGACATCATTGATGACATGATCAATGCCTAATCATTTTCCCTGACCTTTAATTCCATCATTTTCCATTACACTTCAATATAGAGAGCTACATAGTTGCTGCCAGCATATTAATAGTCACAACATTGGTTCAGATCTTGACCTTGTTTTATATTTCTCTAGTCGGCGTGGTACAAGCCTAATGGAAGATGATGAAGAGCCAATTGTTGAAGATGTTATGATGTCCTCAGAAGGGAGGATTGAAGATCTTAACGAGGGAATGGATTTTGACACCATGGATATAGACTTGGTAAGAAACTTAATGATTTCTGTATGATTTTCATTTAATATCCTTTGGAAGTTAAGTTGGAATTAGAGGAAATACCTGCCATGAAAAGTAAGTTTTGGAGAAAGATTAAATAAAATAGTTGCTAGGTGTTTAGGTATATGAGAAGGGATTGGGGAGAGGGTGAGGTTGATGAGGCTGTTAACTCTTCGTTTAAGATGGCAGATTTTCAGATTAATTTAAGAATATATTGATTTAAAGACTACATTTTGCTTACTATTATACTAAACATCATATCACCTTATTTTCCATTTATTTGCCATTATCAAAACAATACATTAGTAATTTGATACTACCCTGGTATTGAGACTTAAACTTGGAAATTAAATACATATATAAGGATATATTCTTTATTATATCATATGTGATTAGGGCTTTATCATACATAAAATGCTTCTGCATTATTTCATCTTGCCACATACCTCATTCAGCTTTGTGAGGTAGGCTGGGAGGATTGAGGATATTGAAACTTAAGGCAATTAGCCCATCCAAGGAGACGAAACTAAGAAACAATAATGCTGAGACTTAATAAACTAGGTCTTCTGATTCTATTTCTTAGTATACTATGCTGTGTTCTCCTTCAAAGGAAGAAATCAGTTAACATGGGTTCTCTTCAGAGTTGTGTAATGCGGCGTCTTTAAAGGAAAATGAT